TGTCTTTCGATTTTGTTAAAACAAGTGCCGATCAGCAGCGATTGTTCGTTGCGGTTCGTTTTGAGACTAGGGATGATGCGAAAGAGGCAATGAGCAAGTGAGTAATACGGTATTGTTGTATACGAGTCGCTCAGTTTTGAAATGGATTCGCTCGTGTGAGAAGTTACAATAATATTTGCTCCCGCATATTTTGATTTAGATATAGCGATAGCGATTTAATGGGACATCGTTGTGAATTAACATGGTTCAAAGATATCCGTCGGTATGCACAATACCAAAGTCTCAACCAGCAAAGTAAGTTTTTTCATCCTAAAAAATTCATCTTTATGTTCTCTTATTAGTTGCAGGACGTGGGCGACCAGCATTCCGTAGAAACTATCAGTACAACAATACCAGCAGAGACCGTGGTAGAGACGCGTATGTTTTGCATTGCAAACTAGGCTTATGCCAAATGGTAGCTCTAGCAGCTATCCAGTCATCCCAAATGCGACTATGTAGTATTACAAGGTTTCTCGGCGTACTTTCTGAATGTCTTAGAAGCGTGCTTGTAAATTTTCGTCTCTTGGTTTCCCACTTTTTCGAGACCATTGTGCTACACGAATAGCAACTTCAGTTATTGTGAAATTGTCAAAAACAAACATAGCGGGTGCTCTTTGGATTGACGAGGTTAAGTGGCAGAGCGATCTCAAATTTTCGGTCGCGAAATGATTACACGCCTCTCTCGCTGAGGAGCCCTGCTTTAATAGAAGCCAGATGCGGGCGGTAGAGGAAATCATTAAGTGGGCGGAGTGACTCAAACGGGCCAGATGACCTGAAGGTCTGCAGCAAATTTCTCGCCAACTAAGGCGAATTATTTCCCTGTCGGAGAATAGCTCAGTTAGAGAGTCGGCTATAATTATCTAATGTGAATTCAAAATCCTTACTTTTGTCTAGACACTGTCTTTAAAAGAAGGCTAGTAGCTTGCTTATCAGCTTAACTACGTAAATATAAGCATTGCTTGATCCTATTGGATTCGCACAAAACATAATTGGTGTTGGGATAGTCACTTGTTCAAGCCTGCCAATTCAGACCCAAACGACGTTATTCTGATCGAGATGATGATAGAAGTCGTTCTCGATCTAAGGAAAGAGGTCGCTCTTCCAGCTACAGTCGATCTCCGAGTGCAAAGTAAACGAAGTCTCATTCAATTCTTATAGTTCTTAGTCTCTTCACAGTCTTCTTCAGATCTGGCGAATCATCCCGAAGCCGCTCTCACAGCAGCGAGCGTGGTGCAAGTGAAGAGCGCAACCGGCGTTCGTCTTCCCGAGACTCTAATGATGCACAAGGTGTGGGGCACGACAAAGACGGAGATCCAGATCGCAAACGTCGTAAGAAAGACAAAAAGCACAAGAAGTCGTAAGTTTTTACTCAAATGGCTTGCACACTGCAATGTACAACAGCTATTTTTTTTT